TTTTTTTTTTTTTTTTTGAGTTGGAGTCTCACTCGGTCGCCCAGACTGGAGTGCAGTGGCCGCTCCGGGCCACCGCAGCCTCACCTGCTGGGCTCCGGCGATCCTTCCGCCTCAGCCTTCCAAGTAGCTGGAATTACAGTCGCGCACTGCCATGCCCAACTAATTTTTTGATTTATTGTAGAGATGAGGTCTCGCCAAGTTGCCCAGGCGGGTCTCGAACCCGCGGGCTCAGGCAATCCTCTCACCTCAGCCTCCCAAAGTGCTGGGATTACAGGCTGAGCCACCGAGCCTGGCTGCCTTTTATTTTTAATTGGGTCTCACTCTGTGGCCCAGGCTAGAGTGCAGTGGCATGATCACAATGACCACAACTCACAACAGCCTCGACCTCCTGGGCGATCATCCCATTTCAGCATCCTGAGGAGGGACTACAGGCTGTGGATAACATTCTACAATGTTGCCTCGATGCTTCTGGTTTCATTTTCTTGCCTAATTAGCTTGTCGATTAGTTGAACCTTGGATAGTTCTCTTGGATAGTGGCAAGAGAAGACATCCTTGTCTTGTGGCTGATATTAAGAAGAAAAACATTTGTCTTCCACCACTAAGTATGATATTGGCTGTGGGGTATTGGGGGTTTTTTTGTTTTGTTTTTCGTAGATGCACTTTATCAGGTTTAGGAAGTTCCCTTCTAGTCCTAGTTAGTTGAATGTTTTTCTCATGAAAGGCTTTGGATTTTGCCAAGTGCTTTTTTAGTGTCTGTTGAGATGACCGTGTGGTTTTCCCTTTGCTCTATTCATGCCGTGTATTTCTTTTTCTTTTCTTTTTTTTGAGTCAGAGTCTCACTCCATCGCCCAGGCTGGAGTGCAGTGGCACGCTCATGGCCACCCCAGCATCGACTTGCTGGGCTCTGGCAATCCTTCCACCTCAGCCTTCCAAGCAGCCAGAACTGCAGGCGCATGCTACCATGCCCGGCTAATTTTTGTGATTTATTGTAGAGATGAGGTCTCACCGAGTTGCCCAGGCTGGTCTCAAACCCGTGGACTCAGGCAATCCTCTTACCTCGGCCTCCCAAAGTGCTGCAATTTCAGGCTTAAGCCACTGCACTCAGTCATGTGGTGTATTTCAACAATTGATTTTCATATGTTGCCAACCTTGTGTTTCTGGGATAAATTCTATTCTGCTTGGTCATAGCATAGAATTCTTTCAATGTGTCTCTGGTATTTGTTGAAGTTTTTTGACTCTATATTTATAAGGGATATTGATCTGTAGTCTTCTTGAGATATTTCTGTGTGGTATCAGGGATAATACTGATCTCACAGAATAAGTTGGGAAATATTCCTTCCTATTCTTTTTTTTTTTTTTTTTTTTGAGAGTTTGTGAATGATTGCTATCATTCTTTGTCAGATGTTTGGTAGAATTTACCCAGTGAAGCCATCTGGGTCTGGGGCTTTCTTTTTGGGTAGTTAATTCAATCTCTACCTGTTATGGTTCTCTTCATAAGATTCAGCTTTGTTGTTTTAGTTGTTTTTGAGTCAGAGTCTCATTCTGACACCCAGGATGGAGTGCAGTGGCATGCTCACGGCCACCACAGCCTCAACCTTCTGCACTCAGGCAATCCTTCCGCCTCAGCCTTCCAAGTAGCTGGAACTATAGGCAAGCGCCACCACGCTGGCTAATTTTTTGATATATTGTAGAGATGAGGTCTCACCCAGTTGCTCGGGTTGCTCTCAAACTCCTGGGCGCAGGCAATCCTCTCACCTCCGTCTCCCAGCATGCTTGGATTACAGGTGTGAGCCACCACTCCCGGTCACAACATTCATCTTGAATGGTTCCACAATACTGTATCAGGTGGAGTGCCGGTTCGTAAATTTCTTTTGGGAGGATTGGTGGACATGAAGGAGAGGGAAGGAGGCTGGATTCACTCACTCATGCAGGTGCTCTTTGACCACATTCATTGAACACCTCTGGTTGTGTTCTGTGCTAGGCCCCGAAGCGACTGACACAAATGAGACAGCCACAGGAACCCTTAGGACCAACATGTGGACAAGCTGATTTCCGGTCAGTCTGGGTTGCCTCCCACTGGGTGTGAAAAGATCCCCAGCAGTGCTCACCAGTGTCCAAGCCGGTGTGCCTTGAAGTCCTCTGGCACTCTACAGGCTATCACGTGCTCTCACTTATACATTCTCATTGTTACACTGATCCTCAGAGGCAGCCTAGCCAAGTTTACTATCCCTCTTTGCAGAAGATAAGACCAAGCTTCAGAGAAGGACAGTACGAATCCAAACATTCAGGTAGTGCCTCTCCTGAACAAGCTCCGTGTAAGGCAAAGGAGATAAAGAAACGACAAGGGAGCCGGGCTCGGTGGCTCAGCCTGTAATCCCGCACCTTTGGGAGGCTGAGATGAGTG